TAATAACAACACAACGTAGAGACTAGCAAGTAACGTAATAGGAAAGCGATATTTGTCACAGTGGCGCGCCAAATAATCGCATACGGGAACTTTGCACTCTACAATTATGACTCCGTCTCAAAAACGCCATACCACACGATCAAGCCGCCGTTTCGCCCCCTCCACGGCGACCCAAACCTGGCTTCCCTTTATCCACGGTATCGACTAGGGGTGAGACCAGCCCCGGTGCCAGAGGACTTCTTCGCCTGATACCCGCGTCAGCACCAAAGGGATGTCCCGGCTGACCACTGTCTCAGCCCCGTCTGGGCCCTTCGTCAGTGTCGTCTGACCTCTGTGTCAGTGCTGAAGGGCCGCGCTGGCTCAGCTCCGTTATCAGCGGAGGAGGCCGCCTGGGATCACCCACTGTATCAGCACACGGGGAGGGGGGGGACGGCCGCCTCAGGACGATCCTCGTGTCAGGGCCCCGAGCGGACGTCTCCATCGGAACCCTGTCGTCGCTGGGACCCAGTCGACCTTTAACGGGTCATTCCATTACCTCCCAAAGACGCCTCGGGTGCCGCAAATCCATCAGCCGGGGGCCGGACGGTTTATTTGAGGGCGTCCGCTTTATGGCGGCATCTCGACGGTTGAGGCGAATTTAATTTCTCCGCCGGTGGAAGTGGTCATTTCTTGAAGGCTCGCGTTCCGGCGAGGCCGGCCACGAGCGCCGCGGGGGTTCGGCACATTTCAGCACGGCCCCCCGGGTGCACTCGGTCGAAAGTAGAAAATTACGGCCCAGCCCGGGCAGCTATAATTCTGGCTCCCGGAGGAGGCGTCGCGAACAACGAGTCGGCCGCTCCCCCCGGCGTCGCGGCGCGTGCGGCTAGGCCCAGTCCCGGACGGCGCCACGACGCCCCCGGGAGCGGCGGCGGCCGCCGCGCCAGCGCGCGAGGTGCGGAGAGCGCCGCCGCCGCAGGGGCCAAGCGGCAGGTGGCGCTGGCAGGGGCACGGATGCGGGGGGACGGCCACGGATGCGGGGGGACGGCCAGGTGGAGCCGTGGCTTCGGCAGGTCGACTGCAGGGCGCTAATGCAGCCGACGGCGGAAATAGGTCGATCGATATCTGAAATCTATGTCGTCTCGGTGTTGTCTTTTCAGTTCGCAGCGGAAATGAAAGCGGTTCTGGGAAGTAAACAAATGCACGAGACTTGAACTGCAGCGGAGGTCATTTTCTTGCGCATCTTTCTGGTGAAAAGCGTAGCTAGAGCAGGAAGTGAGAAACCCGTCGGCGGGGGTTTCTTGGCTCAAGCAAATGATGCGTTGTTCACGAATAACGTCGTTCCGAGGTGGGTTGCGTCTCGTGCCGCTCACAGCCGCACGAGGCTCCAGTAGAGATGCGTGCACCGCGTACATGCACCCTGGCTCTGCATAACAGGATAACTCGTTGTGACTTTATCCAAACGAATATGTTTCTTGGGTCATGGCCGCTCCGAGGATGTCATTTCGAGACTGATTAACGTCCGCCCAGCTTGGCATGTCCGTTACGACACGTTCGTGTGGAACATAAGGGATACATCTGGCACGGTTTTGAGGCTTACCGCGATAGTGCAGTGGTGTACATAAGGTCACCGGACGCCGTGCACAGTAACGAGTTAGCACCCCTTAGTGGCCTGTTTTGGAATTTGTAAACAGGCCACGCCACTATGGTATTGGCCTCATATGGCAGGGTGACCCACCAAGAGTGACATCAATGTAGATCATTAGATGGGCCGTTACGGGTCTACTACATTAGACAATGGTTGTGTAAACAGCATCACTGAGCCTACGGTACGAGCTGCTCATTTCGAGTAAACACAACATAATGCGTGTATGCTTAGCGCAAGTCATTCATATTGAAGACGATTTATTCTATAGCGGGCCAAGCAAAAACAAAAATGCTTTCTCTGCAAGTCAACCATAATTGCAAACACAGCACTTGCCGCGGAACACCTCCCCCTCCATATTTGCCTTTTATGATATGCCCAACACATATAATCTTACGGGCATGAACCATACATCTTTGATGGCTTTTTTACCTCACGAAATGCGCGCTCTTATAATTGGCATGGGCATCAACGGCCTCCTGATAATGCATTCAAAGAAGTGAAGTAAGAGTTGATTTTTAGGAGGAAGGGTAAATCGTCAATTATAACTGAGTGTTTAGATGATGAACTACATGCACTGTGCTCATAGCCGTAACTGTAAAATGTAAAGCGAGGCATCGGATGCAGCCCCCCCCCCCCCCCCCGAGTAGAGAATACGCCAATTTGTGCCCCATTTGGAGGAAACCGTGTCACAAGAATGCAACGCATTGGTCACTGTCTCGCTTTCCCTGAGAGGGTAAATAAATCTGCGTATAAATGCAAGATGTGAGACGACACATCATACACAGTATCATGTGGGTAGGGGTATATACACGTATATAACATATATGCATATATATATATATATATATATATATATATATATATATATATATATATTACATTTCTTGCCAACAACCAGTATTGACCATTCCGGTGTTATGGGACAACGGAGAGTGTGGAGTGGAGGGAAAACACTTAATGCGCCTGAGAGTCGCCCTCTGATGAGATTTGCCCAGCAAAGGTGAGCCCGTTCAGGGTATTGTGGGCGCGCTGGTGGCGCTGCTACCAGGCGGCACTTAAAACCACTCATGGCTGATGCATGCAGCTATTCCCGGATCAACGAGGCGGTACGGGGATGGAAGATGAAACGGCGAATGAGGAAACCAGGGCGGATGCCTGCACGCGTGCGGGCGAGAGGCACATGTGTAGCCCAGCGCCACCAGACGGCATCGGCCGGTACTAGACAACCGACAAGGTCGGGTCGCTGCACTGGCGCCGCCGCACGACAGCATCGGGTACCAGGCCATCGAGGAAATCAGTTGGCGCTCAGAACGGAGAGCTCCCGGACGCAACACTAGCGCCACCAGCCGGCGGCGGGCCGCACTGAGTCGTCGAGAGGAGCCAGTCGTCCAGCGGCACATCACGGCGCCCTCGGGACCAGCTCGTCCCACTCCGCCAAATATTTTGTTTTGCGGCGGCGTGTAAATTACCTGCGGCAGACACCACAGAGGGCAGAAAAGCACCAGCCGGGCACCGAGGTGAAGGAAAACCGACCACCACGCCTGAAATCGACCTCCGCCACGGAAACCGCAACCGACGCCCAGGCACCCAGCCTGAACACGATACAATCCGACTTGCGCTCACACATGCGCTCCAGAATCAATTCAAGGAGAAAAGAGTCTGAAGCGCGAAGTGGGGGAGACAGCGGATCAACAAGCGTTCTAAATCCAGCAGCTACGCTGCCAGCAAAGTGGCCATTCCTCCGCGTATTACGGCCTGCGCCGGCAATTTGTGGCGACTACGCAGGGGCGCGTTTCATTCTGGATATGCGGGAAGTGCTCCTCGGGGAGCGACTGCGGGGAAATAGCGTACGCAGAGTTGTACGCAGGGAACACATCATTTACTTGAATCGAAAAAGTTCTGGTTGTTATGCCCGCCTACGAGTCCCATGCATGACTCGCGAGCAGGCATAAACATGTTAAATGGTAGGCCCTACGCTGAAGTTCTGACGACATAGTAGGCCATACGCTGAAGTTCTAACGACATGGTAGGCCCTACGCTGAAGTTCTGACGACATGGTAGGCCCTACGCTAAAGTTCTGACGACATGGTAGGCCCTACGCTGAAGTTCTGACGACATAGTAGGCCCTACGCTAAAGTTCTGACGACGGTCAGCGATTTCTATCAAAATACGCTATGGGCAGGCAAACACGTGATCGTTCTTTTTCGTATGAAGGCCGCCTGACCACATTCAATCGCCCGACCGCAGATAACAGCTGTTGTACTTTAATATGCCCACAGAAACACAATACGCATGTGTCGTAACATTTCGTGGCAGATTGTCTGGATGAGAAAAATCAACTTTCACTAATAGGCAATGAACATGAAGATCCCTCGATCACAAGGTATTGACTAACCGTGCCATTCTGATGAGCGGCATAACCCTATCACAGCTTTGCCGATGAATGTGCATGTTCACCGTTCAAACATGTGACAGTCTTTTCAATCTGACCGCTACCGGTAGGCAAACGGCGATGCATTTAGTATCACTAGCTCCTAGCCCCTCTCGCTGCTGCCCTGTGGACCAGTTCTGTCTCATCTCAGGCCGCTTAAGGTTATCTCACAATACAACTCTCCCCCTCTCTATCTATCTCTCCCTCTCTCGCTCTCTCTCTCTTTCTCTCTCTTCTCTCCCTCTCTCTCTCCCCCCTCTCTCTCCCTCCCTCACTCTCTCTCTCTCACTCTATCTCTCTCTCTCTCTCTCTCTCTCTCTCTCTCTCTCTCTCTCTCTCTCTCTCTCTCTCTCTCTCTCTCTCTCTCTCTCTCTCTCTCTCTCTCTCTCTCTCTCTCTCTCTCTCTCTCTCTCTCTCTCTCTCTCTCCCCGTCTCAAATCCACCCAGAGATGTTGGCGTCTTGTATCACAGACGGAAGGCACGTGCCCACTGCCCAATACAATCTAACCGCCGGTCTAACATGGCCAAGCTCTCTCGGCACAGCGCACTTCTGATGCACGCGTCCGAGATTGCGGAGCCAAACATGCTGTTACAAATAATAAACAGCAAACAAAAGACACAGCCAAGAAGGATATTCATGCCGTAACACGTTCTTGAACAACAAATTCAAAATAATGCTTTGTTTTTACTTGCCATTAGTTATGTAATATTCCTCATCTGTATACTTTGGTCAAGGGCTCCATATATTACAGAATTGCTACCAAAGTCATTGCTTTAGCAGTGTTAGAATATACAAAATCCATCGTGCATTTTGTACTGAATGACAGATGAACATGAATACAACGCCGCAGCATATAGGTAACTCACCTTCGGAGCCGGGTCCGGGACACACTGACGTCAGGTGCGCTGTGATGTCACTGGCGACCATCAGCTGACGACACTCACCTTCGGAGCCGGGTCCGGGACACTCTGACGTCAGGTGCGCTGTGATGTCACTGGCGACCATCAGCTGGCGACAGCACCAACGACAGCTGACCGAGTCCACACCTGCAACACCAGCCGGTGCGAGGCCTGTCATGAGATCTTATCATAAGCCCATCCTGTATTCGGACGGATTTTATGAACGCAGATAAACGAGCCTTTCCGTTAATTCCATGTATCCGTGCTCCATCTATCACTGTTCATTCGCTTGAGACAACAACGACCCGTGATGACACCCTGCAAGTGCGCATTCGTTCAAGAAAGCGCGCATTCGACGGTCGAGAGACACTCAACTAACACACCCTTCCGAAACACCTCGCCATGGTGGCCTATGCTATACGCTATAAGCTCGGCGAGACAGACGCCTCAAGCAGCAAGGAGTTCATCGCAGACGGCCCTACCCGAGCGGAGCTGTAAGTGGAAGACCATAGGAAGACCAGAGGTCAGCGCACAGCGGACTTCGAGTTTGACAGTGGATACATTATGCATAAGGCGCTCGACGTCAGTCGGTCACTAGTTAGGTGAGTTATTCCATTTCTTTCTAATCTAGAGCGTCACGTCTCTCTCTCTCTCTCTCTCTCTCTCTCTCTCTCTCTCTCTCTCTCTCTCTCTCTCTCTCTCTCTCTCTCTCTCTCTTTGTCTCTCTCTCTCTCTTTGTCTCTCTCTCTTTCCTTCTCTCTTTCTCTCTATTCTCTCTCTATCCCTCTCTTTCTCTCCTCTCTCTCTCTCTTCTCCTCTCCATGTCTCTCTCTCTCTTTCCCTCTCTCTCCTCTCCTCTCCCTCTCTCTCTCTCTCTCTCTCTCTCTCTCTCTCTCTCTCTCTCTCTCTCTCTCTCTCTCTCTCTCTCTCTCCCTCTCCTCTCCCTGTCTCTCTTTTCTTCGCATTTCCCCGCTTGATGTTCCCAGTTGGTTACGTTGCAGCTCTCAAAGTTACTCATCGCGAACACCACGCAAGTGGGACATGTAAGGGGACCGGACAGTGAACCAAACGAATAGCCACCAAAGTATACCACAGTAGATGTGACATGTTCCTACGAGGGATTTCTCTCCGAACCACACCGCGTAGCACATAAAATAACAGCATCCTATAAATGTCATGCTCAAGCATCATCACTGCTGCAGTTTTGTGCACAGAGTACCGCTATGGTGCATGTTAAGCGCCTGGCCTATCTTAGATCAGGTGGGTCTACAGACCACAGATACCCTCCATATGACGTGATCAGCCCATCACCTCTCCCAGACCGGGACGGGCCCACAGACGGCCCGTGCCCTCCATGTGACGTGCCCAGACCATCACCTCTCCCGGACCGTGACGGACCCACAGACGGCCCGTGCCCTCCATGTGACGTGCCCAGACCATCACCTCTCCCAGACCGTGACGGACCCACAGACGGCCCGTGCCCTCCATGTGACGTGCCCAGACCATCACCTCTCCCAGACCGTGACGGACCCACAGACGGCCCGTGCCCTCCATGTGACGTGCCCAGACCATCACCTCTCCCAGACCGGGACGGACCCACAGACGGCCTGTGCCCTCCATGTGACGTGCCCAGACCATCACCTCTCCCAGACCGTGACGGACCCACAGACGGCCCGTGCCCTCCATGTGACGTGTCCAGTCCATCACCTCTCCCAGACCGTGACGGACCCACAGACGGCCCGTGCCCTCCATGTGACGTGCCCAGACCATCACCTCTCCCAGACGTGACGGACCCACAGACGGCCCGTGCCCTCCATGTGACGTGTCCAGTCCATCACCTCTCCCAGACCGTGACGGACCCACAGACGGCCCGTGCCCTCCATGTGACGTGCCCAGACCATCACCTCTCCCAGACCGTGACGGACCCACAGACGGCCCGTGCCCTCCATGTGACGTGTCCAGTCCATCACCTCTCCCAGACCGTGACGGACCCACAGACGGCCCGTGCCTTCCATGTGACGTGCCCCGACCATCACCTCTCCCAGACCGTGACGGACCCACAGACGGCCCGTGCCCTCCATGTGACGTGTCCAGACCATCACCTCTCCCAGACCGTGACGGACCCACAGACGGCCCGTGCCCTCCATGTGACGTGTCCAGACCATCACCTCTCCCAGACCGTGACGGACCCACAGACGGCCCGTGCCCTCCATGTGACGTGTCCAGACCATCACCTCTCCCAGACCGTGACGGACCCACAGACGGCCCGTGCCCCCCATGTGACGGTCAGCGCAGGTCGCACCGTCAGCGGCGCCCCACCCGAGCGGGGGCGACCCGGTCGTGCCGCTGTCGGCCCCAGCTGCCGGATTATTAATCCGGCCCGTGCGCCAAGCGGTGCAGGCACCACGGCGCGCTGCTCCGGGGGGCGCCCGGGCGGCGCGGCGGCGCCCCGCGGCGCCCGCCGGGGTGCCGCCGGCCCCCCGCCGACGGCGGCGGGGGGTGCGAGTCGCTCGCGCCCCCGCCGGCCGCCCCCCGTCGCGACCCGCCTGATGACTCAATCAGACGGCGGCGGCCGGACGCGGGCCGCCGGCCGCCGACTGGAGGAGCCGGTCACCCGGCCGCCGGCCGACGTGTCCCGCTAACGTGCACTTGTGGAACAAGTGTGTGCGCTCGAGCTAGCTGTCAGTGTCCGTTGCGTAGTGCTACATGGTCGACATGCTGCTCGCTAACGGAAGTATATTCAAAAAACGCGAATGCACTACGCATGCCCGCGTAACAGCGCGATGCTTTTCGTGTCGAGTAAGCGGATGCCCTATTCATGGCGCGGATGTTGGTTATAGCATGCATTAATGCACAAGCTCCATCATGTCATCTGGATGCGGCTCAAGCTCTGTTCGCTGTTGCACTGCGGTGTCCTCATATTAAATGGGATTGCTCGTCCGTAAAACACTGACGCTACACCGACTGAGAACATCGGATATCTACGGAGGCGCTACAGAGGCGCGCCGATCGTAAAGATGTATGTAGGCCAAACCCCCAGTATTGCAAGTGAAGGGCCCACTGAAAACATCGGATATCTACGGAGGCGCTACAGAGGCGCGCCAATCGTAGAGATGTGTGCCCACAAACATTTTCTCCTTCAACATAAAAATAATATCTGAGATGAAGCGCGTACAATTATGACGCAACTTTTCTGAATGGTAAAACCCGACAAACATGCAATGTCGAACGTAATATTTGGTGTGGAAATAACTTGTTTTCTAAAAGCTGGGGATCATGACCCCACATATTTTCCAAGATTGCGCGCATTTGCACTTAAGCAACGTGCTTAACAGTCCTCATAAGTTTCGGTGTGAATCTTTTACATCTCCGCGAGAATCACCAATGTGACCATCGGCTTTCCAAAGGAGACCGACAACTTCGAGGGAAGAAGCTGGCCTCAGCTGGAACAGAAGGGGTAAGACCCATAACTAAAGTGAAGTTCCGTGGGGTTCCGTCCAGTTAAGTCATAGCACACCAAGAAGCGAATAAGTCCAGATGTTACCGTCAACGCCCAGTGCCTGCAGATGAGTCTGGCGCATTGGACTGAATGCATAGAACAAGTTCGGATCACCGATGCTTAGAGGGAATATCCATATTTGAAGATATTGAAGCACGCGACAGATACGACAAGATAAGCTCATCTATAGCTTTTGGTATACTTTTAATTGGAAAGGACTGCTATAGAAAACAAATTTGTTTTGTTAAGTAAATAAGCTCCTCAATACGTCATTGTTTGGTTACGTCATTGTACCTTGCACAACATTGATTAAGAGCCAAGTGACGGCCGCTTTACTTGGAAATCGTACTCACGAACGCCTGATATGAACGACCTGACCATTAAATATTCATCGGCCTTGATCTTCGCACGGCCAGTGGAATGGCATAATTTGAATGATGTTACCATGGTGCCATAGATGCCTGGGTGAGTTTGAAAAAGTCCCCTCGGAATAGTCTGCACATCTTTGCGGGCGTATTGCCTAGACACTGGAGGGGCTTAGGTCTTACGAAGAGCAGGGCTGTAAATCGCACTGAATGATCTTCAAGATGGCTGTTTCAGTTCAAAACCAATTACTAATCTGGAGCACTCCCTTTACATCAAATTCTGACGAGCCATGAGATACGCTCATAAGTAAATGATCGTCTTCCAGCTTTCTTTTCCATGATAAAGTGTATATTTTCGAAACCATTTTCTGAACACATGCATTCGGTGTCGTCGCTGCAAGCCCGAGCAACTTTGAAATATACGGTGAGCGCTTTCATGACTTGTTAAAAAAAAACAGGAACAACAACAAACATAGTTCCTTCCAGAAGCCGATCAGCAACTAGCATTAGTGTTTAGAGTATACATTCATCCTGTGCTGCAACAAGGAAAAACATGTCTTTTGCGTTATATTAGGGGGATTGTCGTCAAACACGTCAAAATTTATCGATGCTGTTCTACTACAGATAGCATTGCACACCGATGTGATTTGCTCTACATAACTTCAACCACCACTTTCCACTTAGCCGCCCCGAATCAGCAAAGCGCACATCTCATTGCGCAATTATCTAAAATCTGACACTATCGTTGCAAATCCAAACAAGTTACAATAACCATTGCTCCAGAATGACAAACGGGGCACGAATTGCCAAGTCGGACCGCCGCACACGGGCAGTGCGTCACGAGAAGCCGGCTCGGCTCCGTTTGTCGCCAAATTTGTTTACGATGCGGTCGTAAAGCGACTTTACGACGGAGCTGAGCAGCGGCCGGGAGTGGCTGGCGGTCGTCTCCAGACGAGGGCACCGCATTAACTCGGCTCGCGGTGGCGCCGGCCGCACCCAGGGCGCTCGGACGCGCGTGCCGCACGGAGACGTGAAGGCGATGCCGCAATCAGCACAGGGACGCAACGGCGTCCACATACATATGGAGCTTTTGTTGGCTTTCCTTTTACTTTTCCGGGGCTTTCGAGCTTCGCATTTGTTTTCTGTTAATTTATTCAGTTTTACTGTTGTTTTCCCGTCCCTATTAAATGTTTTATGACCATATCTCCTGTTCTATGTTTCGGCGTACTTGTCTTCGTTACTTCCGGGGTAGCAAAGTACACCATGCTATTTTGCAAGCCGTC